CTCTCTCTGAAGTCAGCATCAGGTGTTTGATCTTTCTATAAAGCACTATGTATCAGTCGGTCATTCAGTTCATAAATGTTTTGAGAATAGACAAAAGGTTAGAATAATGAATCATTTTCATATGCTAGATGAAATTTTGATTGTGAAACAGTTTCTACACAACTGTTGCATCATATAAGATATAAATTACCCTCATAAAAATTACCAAAATATAAATTTATTATTCATGAACAAGAACATGGCATGTATCAGGGAAGAAGAAGTATTTCTTCTCAACAACTTATCATTATCAAACTGTACAGTCGTATTTATACTCTGTAAAGTGACAGATAACTGCTCAGTCAATATGCAAAATATGCAATAGGTGTAGGTGGTAGTATTTGTTCAGGTGGAAAAGATAGAAAATGGGTCACTGAATAAGGAGGAACGGACTGATAACAAGTGGTGAGATAAGAGACAATTATTGTCAATGAAGTGAAAATTGGTGACGATAATAATGATAATAAAAGAGAAGTATACCAAAGTGAAGTGAAACGACATGAAAATGACGAAAATGAATTGTTAAGGCCAAGGTGGAGGAAATGGTTTCACAAAACGTTTTTCAATGCAAAGTTTCGGTTTTTGTTCATGTATAGCTAATACTTCAGTTATGCATAAGTGCTGGAAACGTAAACCTATGGAGTAGTTCAATTTATCTTTGTAAAATATTTTAAAGTATGAATTTTGAGGTGCTGAGTGACCTAATTCCTTTCCTTTCCTCGCTCCTGGTAAGCGAAATGGGGTAGTGTTCAGCAACACATTTTCCGAGGACCCACTTACAACGTCTAATATAGTCAGCTCCACAGGAGCATGTGAGCTTGTAAATATACTTAGATGTGGACATAACTGGAAGCCTATCCTTCATGCGTTGACGAATCAGACGGCGGCTGGAGAATATCAATCTCAGTCTAACAGCATAGAAGCTACTATTGATATACGTTGACAGACGATTTGTCAGCACTTGAGCTATGGTGTCTCCTTTGAATTCAAGATTCATGGTTAAAGTTTTCTTAGAAACTTTAACTGGACGTGGAGTGGTTCATTTCTTCAGATTCTTATCAATAAATCATTTAGGGTATCGGTTATTGGATAGTATTATTCTAAGAGTTTCGATTTCAGCATCCACCGTATCTTCTGAACTTATTCTATAGATTCTGGAACACACTGAACTATCCAGTCTACCAGTAAACCAAACAACAGGACTGTTGAAAAACCTAAATGAGATGTGTGTTCACTTTTTGGTGAGAAGGCAATGAATTTTTTAAGACATTTAAGTTGAGCATCCCTAAATGAAGCCTTCATTTTATGTTTTACAAAAGTTGGGTTATTGAATAAGTTCAGAGTCATATAGTTCATCATAATATCTGCTTTATAGTTTCAGATTACGTTAAAAACATTGTAGTTCATAGGACTGTTAAATATCTAACGATGCTCTAGTAAACGCTTTAAAATTAACCGCCGTAAATGGATTTATATGCAAAAGCTTAAAAATTCTAATATACCAGTCACTTTATGAAATGAATAAATGAAATAAGACGAAGATCATTGTCATAATGTATATCATAAAACATTTGAAATGAATGAGATGAGATTACTATTTACAAAGCCAAAAAAATATCAGATGACGTACATTGACCTGTAACTGCATCGGTATCTCTATCAGTCGAAGCAACAGTTTTAAGAAACATAAAATATCACTAGATTAACTATAAACTAAGTTATCCTAGTTGGCTACATGAAACAAAATTTTTCCAATAAGAATCTTCTTAACCCTTTCATCAGCATAGATCAAAACTCGAAGCTCAAAAAAATTTTTGTTTTATTGTTCAATAGCTTTCAAAATTGAGTTCAATTTCAATCGTCTCCTATAACCTAGTACCTTTATTGTTTTCACACTTCATCTGTATGAGTTATGTAATCACTTTGCCATTCTTAAAAATGAATTTCTTATGTATACTTTCAAAAAAAAAAATCTTTAATTATATTCAAAACATTCATGAGTATTATACATTCATTATTATTCGTCCTAGGAATTTATTCACTTCAACAATCACTTTTAGAAAAATTATTCATTCTATTTTCAGGGTTATAAGCCTCCCTTGACTTTGTAAAAGGTATCAGCTTTATTATACTATCCTTCATAACGCATTACAAAGTCAACCGAGCTGGCTTAACAACTCATAGATTATTTACCTACTTTACTGAAACGACAGGAATATGAGCCATATTCCCAGCAAATAAGATACATCTGGGAACGAACCAACCAAGAACCTATCACGCAACAAATATGCAGGAGGAAGTGGAGATAGATTGGGCATACGCTGAGAAGGCCGACTGGGGATATCACGCGTCAGGCCAGTTGCTTGAGTGGAATCCCATGGGAAGCGACGAGCTGGACGTCCGAGGATGACATGGAGGAGATCGTGCGAGGAAGAAATGAGAGCTTCTGGGCTGTCGTGGAACCGGGTTCGAAAGATCTCAGAGAACAGAGGTCACTGGAGGCGTGCTACTGAAGCCCTATGTTCCACTTGGAACCCAAGGGACTAATAATAATAATAATAATAATAATAATAATAATAATACTATCTAAACGTGTTTTTAACTACGTGCAATAAGACTTGTCATCGGTATGAATTACTTCATACCAAAGAATCAGATCAATGGAATAATCTTCTCATATTAAATAAGTAAATCAAATCATCTTGTCATTCTTTTAACTTCTTAAACAGTTATGTCTTTCAAAGTTATTACACTGTGAAGTGAATCAACTTACAAAACTGCCATTCTTGTGTTTAGTGCTTATCATATGTATCATGAGTATACTGGACCCTCGGTGTTAATGTTCCAGCCGATGAAATATTTCTGGGGTAGTGAGTCAGTTTACCAAAGAAAATATATAACTGTATTGATTTGTCATGGGAGTGCAACCAATTTCATATTGTCTAGTCCTGAGTGCAGACCGAATTCTATCGATCATATTTGCAACGTGGCAACCAAGCTAGGAAGCCCAGCATCGCGGTGCATATTAGTAGATGTTAGTTGGTTGGAGGCAATCAGCAGGAAGCCCTAGACCTAGGTTTCGTGCTTTAGGGCACTCATCAGCAAGGTGTATCTGCAACCTCGACGGAACTGACATCCCGCCTGAGATTCGAACCCGCGTCACCCAGTGTTGTAGTCAAAGACTTTACCACTGAGGTATTCGGGCCGCAATTGACCTCCTGTAGCACTAGGTTATACATATTGATTGGTCACTGGAGTGCAACCAATTTCATGTTGTCTAGTCCTGAGTGCAGATACGCCTTGCTGAGGAGTACCAAAAAGCAAGAAACCCAGGTCCAGGATTTCCTGCCGATTGCTTACAACCAACTAACTTACGTAACTGTGGGATATATTAATTAAAGTACTTGGTTATACTGTGATAAAAAAATACCACCTTCATTGAATCGTTAGTATCATCTGATCATTTAGATTTGATAGTAAATATTAGATGGTTCACTGTGATATGAATTTTATGCTATGTAATACTGACTGACTCTACTGTGATGAAGGAAGATCAAGTCAAAGATGTGTCAGACAATCCTTGCTAGTGTACGTTTCACATTCAGCTTCTGAAATTTATTCTTCTCATAAGTGACCTCTTCAACAAAGAAAAAAGAAGTTTTCAACGTTTTCTTATGACTGTTTGATATACAAACTATGATGAAAAATATCCATGGAATATATATTAAACAGAATTCAATTAGAGAGTTAGTCACGGTCAGGATTAGTCCTTAAAAACCTTAGTTAAACTAAGCCATAGAACAAAATTATGCACAGCTTCTAGTGCCTTATATTTTAACAATTGAAAAGCTGAACTTATTATTACTATTCCCTTGAGTTCTTAGTGGAACATAAGGCTTCAGTAGCACGTCTCCATTACACTCTCTTCTATGCAGTCTTTTAAACCTCACTCCAACACTGTCCACAAGCTTTCATTTCTCACTCGCATAATCTCCTCCTTGTCACCCTGGCCTCAGACAACCAACTTGACGTTTCTCATTTGGATTCCACTCGACAGCCTGGCCTGACCTGACGTGACGCGTGATGTCCCCAGTCGGCCTTCTTAGTGTATGCCCAATCCAATCCAATCCATCTCCACTTCCTTCCAGTGCACATTTGTTCAGGGATAGGTTCTTGCTTTGTTGGTTTGTCACCAGCCAGCCAGCCAGAGTGAGTTTCTTGTTGCTTATTCTTATTATTCTGGCCATCTGATCTTGAGTATCGAGCCAGCGTAGGCCGCTGTTGAAGAATGTCTGTCTGAATATCTGTTTGAACCCATCGAATGGTAACAGTACACTTACTATGTTGCGTTGCGGAAAGCGGCATAAATTAGCATTCACTTTTATCGGTTACATACCACTACGACCTGTAATCCACTTCCTCTGTCTTTCTGATTAACATTTTTTTTCTCAAGTAGTAGATATTGAGTTTTCAGGAAATGAAATTGTAAAAATAGCCAAAAAATGCCTGAAATACCTTTTATTGCTTGATACTATCAGATTTTATGTTGTTACATCTATACCCAATAATTCTTACCCAACAATATTAGTACATGATGAGTATATCTATACCACTGCTGATAAATACATCAGTTTGTCTCCTTATAATAGACTTTCTTGTTCAAATAATCATGTCTCACTTCTCACATTCAACCTTCATGAATTTATTATCTTATGGAAACACTGTCTTAAATATAACAAGTATAAGACAAATGAATGCATCCACACACCAAAAAACTTCAATCTATACCATAAAGCGTCAACAATGAATACAACCTAAATGGTCGATTAAAGTTGAGTTGAAGAAAAAGTCAACTAAGAATCAAGAACCACTACTTTACAATATATAAAAGTTAAGTAATTACAAAGTGATCAATATTTCTATTTGTTGACATATTTTATAATGCTACATTTTAAATATGGTCAAGAATTTTGTCGATACAGACCATGAAGGCACCAAAGAAAACCAAAAATATCCTGAATGCACCATCGATTATGATACATCATCCATGGGTATGGTCCAAGAATAAATGGTGGAGGTGGATAAATGTTCGGTGGAAAAGTTGTCGATTGATATGATAATCTGCTTTTATAGATTGATTCATTTACTGACAGTGTTGCATTGGTTGAAATCAAAGTTGGATTTTGTTCAGGAAAGCCGGAAAATCCCTGGTCTAGTTAAATTAATATCAAATAAATTTTTGAGGGAGTTGTGGAGATTTGGAAATATTTCAAGTTATTATTCATCGTAGACTGACATCAGTTGGAGGAACAGAGGAGACCTGGGAACACTGGACAGCTGTTTCGTCCTAATATGGGACTCCTCAGCAATGTGCACCCATGACACAGCCAGGGATCAAACCTGCAACCTCCAAGTTCCTCAGCCAGCACGTTACCATTAAGCCACTGGGTCAGAATCCAATGGTCCGTATTTCCAACTCCTGTTACTTCATGATATAGCGCAATCGCTGAGGAGTCCCATACTAGGACGAAACAGCTGTTCAGTGCTCCCAGGTTTCCTTTGTTCCTCTTACTGGTGTCAGTTTACGATGAATAACAACTTGTAATATCAAATAAATAGAATACCATGAAATACATACAAACAAAATATAGAATAAACGAATAAAAGTATTTTTAAATAATTACTGTGACGGAATAATTAGAAAGGCTGAAATCTACTCGACTTCTACAATATAGAAGGAATTCTTTTAGGATCACTGATAAAGTTCCTTCAGTGAAAACCTTGTAAATGATAGCTTATATAATATATACTTTATAGAACTGTGTCAATCAGAACCTATATTTATCTACTAACTGCTGATTTGATACTAACAACACTTTAAATTGCTCAAACTATCCAAATAACCTTGTTGTAATAGACTGGTAATTAAAATGAAAACCTATTGAAATAAATAGTCTGGCTATTCTTCTTAGTTTCATTCAGCTTCGGTAAATTTAGTGAGTAAGTATTATAAACATTCTCAAAGACAAAATATACACGCTCGTTAGTGTAATCCTGACCTATACTACCTACTTAATACCGTGTAATAAACTGACAAATTAACTTGAAAGTAAATTTTCCCAGCTTCACAGTTCTTTCCCCCACTTCTCCAAATTTATTTTATTTTCTCTCAAGACTTCCTTCTCAAACTATCTCATTCTGTCCATCAATAGAAAGTAAACATTTCAAAAATATCTTCTCTGGCTGAAATCCATCTCTCCTTATTCTTTCTACCTCATATTACCTTGGTGTAAACAGTTTCCAAACATTCTAGACTCCAAACCGAGAAACAGAGAAAGAGAAATTCTGTTATAATTTATTAGTTGGCTGACTGAATTAATGGAGTGGTGAACAATGTGAATCTTACCGTTTCCAGTAGTACGATTGGAGGAGATGGAGCAGGAGAAGCCGAGTATGATGATTAGTAGATATTTGAACATTCTGAATAAAGGGAAATAGATGATTGTATAGTTGTATAGGGAGACTTGTGATGATATGAAATTTATGATATGGGAAACTACATAGATTGACTTTTTCTAGTAATCAGCAATTTGAAAATCCAATGTGAGTAGAACTTGAGAACTTTAGTAGATTGTATTTCCGTTTTATTTTGCTTATTATATCCATCACGGTGAAATAGTATGTCTAAATATTTGCTCAGTCGGTTTCAGAAGTAACTCAGATAACTATATCTGGAAGGTAAACACACTGTTTTTCGATTGAACAATGAAAAGTTATGAGTATGACTTATGCTCTTAACTCCTAGCTAATTGCGAAATAAGGCATAACTAAAATATAGAAATTCGGTCATCTTCATAAGAGATACTTATTCAAACTAATTACGCCCGCAGATAATAATCACTTCTATGCACGGATTTCTATACTGAATGAAAGAAAGTATATCAACTACCACGTGTTTTGATTTTATCCTATGTAGTCTGTTAAACTACGGCTAACTCATATAGCCAAATGATAATCAACATGATGCTGAACCTCTCCAATTTAGTTAGATTTGAATTAGGATGAGAAGTTCTGCCTCGGCAGTCAGTATCAGTACGATCAAGCGGTAGTAATGCCTCACGAATTCATATGGAGACTGAAGTGAAATAAAAATCACGTCAGCAGTCAGACCTCGCAGCTCAGCTTTTACAGCATTGGGCCGGAAACCCGGTAGTCGCCTGTTCGTATACAGTCGTGGTTCAAATTTTCATCTCACCTTTAATCATCATTCATTATAAATAAAACCAAGGCCAAGTTAATTTTTTCAATAAGCCGACAAAATTGACTGGTGTATTATGCAGACTGAATCGTTGCAAACCAGTATACCTGAACCATACTTGTTAAAGTTACCTCAATGTGTTCATCCGTATATTTATTAAGGACAATGAAGTGAAAAATTATACTCTTGTGTATCTCGTTTTAAAAGAAACACTAGGCATATTCTCATGGAATTGTTTATCACTTGCCCGATTGTTGATGAAAGTCAAATCCAACAATTATCATGATTCCTTTAGTCTCACCTTTTACATAAAATAACTTTGCAAAGAAAACCAAATGAAATTTTAGATATAAGACCACACAAACCTTTTGAAAATTTGAACTCACTTTGTTTGCAGCATAGTAGAATGACCAGTTGAATCTCACTTATTTATACAGAAATAGTTTCTTCTCATGTGATGCGTTATTGCAGCAGAAACTGATTTTTTTTAATCTAAAGGTCGTTTACATATTAAAACGATGCACTGCTCTGACTTTTGTCTATTCTGAAAACATTTATGAACTGAATGATAGACTGTTAGGTAATGTTTTATATGTAGGTCAAACATCAGACCATGACTTCAGAGAGATATAACTTAATAAATAAAATGTGACTAGGATTTCGAAATGACGTCACAGGAATAAGAAATTGAATTGATACACATTGCATCACTGGCAAAAGTATTCTGTTTGATATGCTACTGAGTATCTAAAATTTTATACTGATTCAATATGAACAAGAAGCAGCAGTGTATATGAAATAACTAACCTTATTTCATCAATATAAGTGTAGATCTTAGGCACTGTTTTGCTGATTATTTTTAGTTGTCCTTTGGGTTCCTAATGGAACATACGGCTTCAGTAGAACGTCTCCATTACACTCTCTTCTATGAAATATTTTCAACCTCGCTCCATAACAGTCCACAACCTCTCATTTCCTCCTCACAAGATCTCCTCAATGTCACCCTGGTCTCAGACAACCAACTCGTCGTTTCCCATCTGAGTTCCACTCGAGCACCTAGCCTGGCGCGTCATATCCCCAGTCCGCCTTCTCAGTGTATGCCCAATACAATCCATCTCCACTTCCTTCCACTGCATATTTGTTGCGTGATAGATTCTTGGTTGGTTCACTCCCAGAGTGAGTTCCTTGTTGCTTATTCTTGCTGGCAATCCATCTGATCTTGAGTATGGAGCCGAAGTAGGCAGTTGTTGATGAATGTCTGTAGTTTGTTGGAAATCCCTTTCGTATAACTCCAAGTCTATCAACCATACAGAACCACTGACTTGACGTCGGTGTTGAAAATCTGCATCTTGTTCACATGCTGAGTGCAGAAGATCTCCACACTGGTTTCAGGCTAGTGAACGCCAATCTTGCTTTTCCGATCCTGGCTTCGATGTCTTCGTCTCTACCGTCACCTGTAGTTCAAACAATGCTGCCTAGATAGTTGAAAGAGACTACCTCCTTTGAGCTTCCTCCATTGATGGTGATTCGAGCCCCTTGTCGTTGTTGTTGTTGTTGGCAGGGTATCTTCATCACCTCTGTCCTCTCTACGTTCACTTGAAGTCTCGTCTTCGCTGCACTACCTCGCCTCTTCTATCAACTTGTTAGTCTTCACCTCTACATCTTCAAGTGTGTGTGACATCAGACACAAATCATCATCGGCGAAATCCAAATCTACTTTCGGGGTCTTTTCATCGGTCCAGCTAGCGTATCCCACTCTCCTCGCTCCTCACACTCTGTTGCATGATCCAGTCAACCACAATCAGGAATATCATGAGTGATAGTGGGCAGCCTTGTCCAACTCCTTCCTGTCTTCACTTCGCTGCAAACGCATCACTGAGCTGAGCTTCCCATTGTGAATTACTTGGCATGTCGTGTCTTCATATAGTTGTTGAATGAGGTTGATAAAGGTTTGCGGTATTCCGTAGTATTGAAGCAGTTTCCAAATTACCTCTCGGTCGACGCTGTTGAACGCCTTTTCAAAGTGGATGAAGTTGATGTAGAGAGTTGAGTTGACTGCCATTCTATACTCTGTTCTATGATGATGTGTAGTGTAGTGTTGCAAATTGATCTACACACGATTTGTTCTTCGTGAATCCAGCCTTTTCCGGTTATAATTTTGAACCCAGCGCATCGTTTAGTCTCTCCAGGATGATGTGACTCAGTATTTTGCTTGATTTGGTTGACAGAAGCATGATTCCTTATCAGTTGTTTCAAAGGCTTAGATATCCCTTCTTCGGGAGTTTTACAAGTTTAACCCTTCTTCCAATCAATAAGCAGGTACATTTACTTCCTTCCACATCTTCTGCAATAGTGGTGTGGTGTGATCATGTCTGCTGCTGATGTCTCTGCGTCTCTTCTCAGTGCTTCTGGTGGGATTCCATTTAGTCCTGCTGCTTTCCCACACTTCAGTAGCTTTATGGAGCTCAGGGCTTCTACTTTTGTTGGAGGATTTGTGTTCACTGATAGTTGTGTGGCTGAAGGTTATGTTTCTGGACAAAGTGCAGCTGGTGGTCGAGATCCATTCCTTGTCTTGTTTCCTCTTCCTTCCTAAAATGGTTATGCAGGTTTCCTTCGACATCCCTTTCAAAGACTTCCAGTGTTCATTTAGACGGGTTTCTTCAGAGATGTTGCTTGATATCTCCCATTTTGTCTTGATGGCTGAAGTGAAGATTTTCTGTGTAGGCACTGTGGTAAAATGAAATTCCATATTGCATATTTTTATTTGATATATAGCACTCAGTAATACAGTATTATTTACTTGTTGATATTTAGAGCCTTATTTAGGCTGAATATAATCATTGTGGCCAGTTAGATTAGATTTCATAGTCTGGTGGCGTGTTTTCTGTGTTATAGGTATGTATACTGTAGTAATGTATTTACAAAAACATTCACTTATATAGTATGCTCTTTAATAAAACAGTAGTTTCATGAAACTATTGCTAACTGATCCAAGTATGTAAGGAAAATAAGAAACCCTAGATTTATATATCATTGATGGATGTAACTAGCAGTGGGATCCAGGACGCGCGTTTTGTCCTATTTTGTACTCATCAGCTGAATGTACCTGCCACATGGTGATCGATTTCGTCCCCATTAGGACTTGAACTCGGCATCGATCTCCTCAAATTCCATAGCATCATATACTACACCACCCAATCATAATAGCCAGTTCTCGTGCTTGTATTATCCTTTCGTTGTTTAGATCAAATTGATCGGTCTCTGTTGGCATATGAGCTCCTGCGCAGATGCCTCTATACTGCCCGTGTTCAGTTATATATTAATAATGGATACTGATTAGCAGTGGAATCCAGAACGCACTTTTCGTCCTAGTATTATTTTTTAGGTAATGTTCTCAAAACAATTTATTGTCTGTAGTCATACCCATATCAGCTTATCTTAAACACTAACATTGAATATGCTCACTTGACTACATACTACTATACCCGTCGAACAAGAAGTGGCTACCGTAACTCGTTGGCCTAGTGGATAACGCTCTGGAGTTTGAAGTTATTGGTCCCGGGTTTGAGTCTTCGTCGAAACAACACTCACTAGGAGGCTGCTATATCCAGCTGACGGGTTTAAAATAGGACGAAAAGCGTGTCATCGATTTCACTACTACCCACCATCTATCAGTAATATACAAGCGAAACATAGATAATACCGAAGCAAATGCACAATAGCCCATATGTAAACAAAGATCTATCAGTATAGCCCAATCAACTACGGGACAATACAAGTGACAACATTAAACTATAGAATTATTATTATTATTCACCCTTCAAAGAAGAATAATTTTCCTCATCATTTTTTATATGACTATCTTCTTTACGTTCGCTTGAAGTCTCGTCTTCGCTGCACTACCTCGCCTCTTCTATCAACTTGTTAGTCTTCACCTCTACATCTTCAAGTGTGTGTGACATCAGACACAAATCATCATCGGCGAAATCCAAATCTACTTTCGGGGTCTTTTCATCGGTCCAGCTAGCGTATCCCACTCTCCTCGCTCCTCACACTTTGTTGCATGATCCAGTCAACCACAATCAGGAATATCATGAGTGATAGTGGGCAGCCTTGTCAAACTCCTTCCTGTCTTCACTTCGCTGCAAACGCATCACTGAGCTGAGCTTCCCATTGTGAATTACTTGGCATGTCGTGTCTTCATATAGTTGTTGAATGAGGTTGATAAAGGTTTGCGGTATTCCGTAGTATTGAAGCAGTTTCCAAATTACCTCTCGGTCGACGCTGTTGAACGCCTTTTCAAAGTGGATGAAGTTGATGTAGAGAGTTGAGTTGACTGCCATTCTATACTCTGTTCTATGATGATGTGTAGTGTAGCGTTGCAATTTGGTCGGCACATGATTTGTACTTCCTGAATCCAACCAGCCAGCCTGTTTCGGTTGTAGTTTAGAATCCAACGCATTTTTTAATCTCTCCAGGATGATGTCACTCAATATTTTGCTGACCACATATTTAACAGATCAGCTCTTCAGAGAAATCAATCCATATATGATCTCATATTCAGTCTCTTTCCTCATTTCAGAGTTCACCCGAATAAATCAGCTGATTCACCAGCTCTTCTTTAATCTGGGATTATTCAACTATTTTTCATCACTCTGACATTACTCATAATTTTCTAACAACCAATACCATGTTGTTGTTTGGTACTTGTTTTTTCCTGTTGCTTTACAGGGTAGAATTGCTCGACGTCTATTACTGGATGGGTTCCTATACGGGCGCCTGGATACTGCCGGGTATTCAAGATGTTGTATTCATCTCAATGACTTCATGACATGACAACATAAATATCCAGTAGCATCGAGGCATGCATATAGGAGCCTATCTCCCAACAGAGGTTGAGTAATTCGACCCTGTATTTCAAAGAGAAATTTCAAGAATCAAAGAACAACAAACGATACCCATTACACAAGTGGTGGCTTTCGGGCCCAAATAGGCTAGCGGATTACGCTTAGGCACTTGGAGCGAAGGGTACCAAATTCGAGTTTCACCCCCTCCTTGAGTGCAGGTACATCCATCTGACAAGTTTCAAATAGGACGAAAGGTGATCCCTGTATTCCGCTACAAGTCACCAAGATAAAAACGAACCCATTATTATGACCATTCTTCATATTAGCATCTAAAAGCAGTCGGGCGACTGTTTACATTCGTTCTTACTTCATGAACGGAACATAATACTTATAAGTCACAAAGAGCAATTAATACGCATCTTGTATTCCACCTTCGGTCGAAATAGGATTAATATAGATCTACCCAACTCAGGGACGGAAACCTTCTAGGGAGTGCAGTCCTCCCTCACTTTGCCAAACAGAACAGGATAACTAGTTTTAAAAGGTGTTTATCGTTTGCAATAATCATAGTTTAACTTTTGGAACAAGATGCCAAATAACAGAGATTGAGAAAAGTTATAATATGAACTGGTCAGTCAAACAATTCTGACATTTAAAAATTGGTTTTGACAAAAAGAAATCTAGAGAACTGAAAATTATTCTGTTCATCATTTTTAAATGTTGCTTGGGTTAGGATATTCTCTTTCTAAACCATAGGAACTCAGTGGTTTAAAGCTTTCTACAAAACTAAGACAAACTGTGGTTGGATCACTTTTAATCGTGTATAGCCCTTTTGTCTTGTGAAACAACACACATCGTACTTTCAGTGTTCAGTGTTCACCGTAATTAATGAATTTCAGTCATTGATACCGATAAACTTAACTAAATTATAATTCATCCTATTTTATAAAGAGACTAAGTAGTTTGTTTTAAAAACTAACCTTAATAATCAAGTGAAAAGGTCATCACAATGTGTAAGGCAATAGGACTTAGGGTTTGCACACATTTCACGTATACATCATGCAATATTAAAGGTTTTACCTTTCTGTGAATTGGGTCCTGATGAGTTTAAATATCAAAGCTTGGAGAACATTAAGCAGTTATCACCCTTATCTTGAGCTACAAATCTATTCATTAATGTATTGGAACTTTTATGCACGAAACAACGAAAATTTCGTACGATGCAGCCATTATCAATTATGCATTTGCTGATTCATATATCATACACCTAACTGCGTAATATTTGAACTATCTTAGGAGGCTGGATAGAGTTCACTCACTGAGGCGCGGGTACAGCCGGCTCACGAGTCCCAGATAGGACGAAACGCGTGTCCTGGATTTTTCTACTAACTACAACTAAGCAAATTATCATAATTACCATTCCGGCCAAATCGAGGCATCCGCATAGCAGCCCATATGCCAATAGAGGTTGGACAATTCGATCCAACAAAATATCGGAGAATCACAAGTATATCAATAAATGGTAATAATCTATAAAAAATGCACTGGGAGTCGGAATTATTAAATATGATTTGGTTAAAGACCAAAATTTGATGAAAACTTTATATTAGAACACCACAATTTTCATTTTCCCATTTCATTTGTCGAATCGTTCTTATAGCAATTAGATAGCAGTTTTTTCTCATGAATCAAAAACAGCAGGAAAAAGCAAACGTACTCAGATATTTAACTAAATCTTCACAAGCTGATTATTAAGTGAAAAATATTCGTCCATATCTAAGTCTGCGGTTTCGGCCTCCATATCGACGCCCATATCTGTAAGGTGGAAAGTAAGGTCTTTGCAGCTGAAAATAAAACTGTGGTGGATAATAAGGTGGAGGTACTCCAGGTGGATAATAATTGTAAGGCTGTCCAAAACGTGGAACACTTGGAGATGGCGGGTACACCAATGTTCCCGGCAGTGGTCCAAATGAAAACGATGGGTTGGATGCTGGTGCGGATGGAGATAACTGACCAGGTTCCCGCATTGGATCAAAAGAAGCTGATAGCCCAGATGCTGATAGCTGTCCAGCAGGCAGTCCTGGCTGAGATTGAGGTGGTGAATCTCCTGAGAGTGAAGAATCGGGTGAGAATGCCGAAGGAGGTTGAGCAAATTGTGTTGATGATCCAGATGACGATGGGATGCCTTGGCCTACATAAATAAAGCAAGTTTAATCATGAGTCTTCTCTGAAAATATTGACAAGCAATCACATAAAGTTATGAGTTCAGACCAAATGTTTGGTAAGTCTCAACAGGTTTGATTAATTGCTTAACGTAGTGACTACCCACATAGTCAGATTACCTTCCAGTTGTGATAATTCAGTTACTTCTAAATTTCGTTTTATCGAAAACTGATTAAATCGAATAGCTAATGAAAATCATTTAGTCCAAAACTCTGAAAAGCATGCTGTTTGTACATTTCTAGTATATTTCATAATAAGCTGAAAGATGTTCAACATTAACTGTGTTCTTATCATGTTTGGGCCAGTCCCAATTCCTTAAAAAAACGTTTATATTCGATGGATAATACGTCAATGTGATTATGGACAGCTGATTATGCCCGAAACGTAAACCAGTGAATAACATTGTTCCACTGTGTGATATGACCAATAAATCACCTAAAATGGAAACACGTCACTATCCTTATAGAGTATTCAAACCAGTAAATCTGAATTGCCGTCAAGCTTAATCCTTGATTTATCTGTCCCGCTCTATTATACAGTAGCCAAATGGTTATCATACCTTCTAGAATTCATCAGAAGGCAAGTTCCAAATTAATTTTTACAAGATACATTCAAGTTTGTCGATTCCATAAGTGTTTCTAACTTGACTGTAGAGCTGTAGAGGATGTTGTCGTCAAAAAAAAATTTGTTTGCCTAAGTCTCCATGATTCACACTCTAATGATAAATAATATGAAATGAAATATTTAGTTTGATGCTCTAATAAATTGAAAAGTTTCGGTTTGATAGAAAATATGTGATGCAATACGAGAACTTACTGTTTATCATTACAAGATTGAGTTCGGCACTGATTAGTAAAAATAAAAGAATTTTCATCTTCAGCATCCTGCAGCGTGAAAGAAATGAAATAAACAAAACTTAGGCAAGACGAAACGTACTTATAAAAGTAATATCGTACCCCTGTCATGCCTATCACTATCATCTCCTACGTTATTTAAAACTATTGTCTGCCGTATTTATACGGTAAAGTTTATATTTTATTGAAAACAGCTACCACTTCTGATGATAATTATGACCAACACTTTGCATAACTGACTTCATGAAGATAGGTAGTTAGTTATTATTGATGACTACTATTTGTATGCCTTCTGAAATCACAGACTATACCTTTCTGTATCAAGCTGTACACATGACAAACTCATATTATCATTCTCAGCGTTTATGTATATCTATTCCTCTTTGCAACTTACCTAATTTTTAACGAAATATGGAAGTTGTAATCTAATGTAGACACTGTCGGTTTTATAGTGGTTTAATCCATCAAGAAGTCTGTATCTTCAGGACTTACCTGTACGTGATAACCAAACTTTTATGCCTACAGACCAAGTAATTGACTTAGTACGTGACTTGCTTGTTTGAAGCTAAAAAAATGACAAGATAAATAACCATTTTCAGTATGAAAATTTAAAAACTGAAGTCTAATATCTAATTTTAAGAGTTTTCTGAAAGCATCACTTCCAGTTTGGTATATTTATTTATCTATGTTATTTATGAATAAACAAACAGTTATATAGTTTGTTAGTTCAATGAAAACTAGTACCTTTCAGCAAATATCTATAAGTCTTATGAGATGGAATACAAAAAGTTGAGGAAACCACCATACCAATAACCGTTTATAAAAGACTTATTGGGCGCAAGCACAGAAGATTTGAATGTATGTACTACAACTAGAAAGACTAGCACAGTTATTTGCAAATCTGTTTTCAAAAGCTTTCTTAATATGATCTTCATACTCTCATATAGAAACAATTTTTTTTTTCCGTCCTAAAGAGCACTTTTTTCCCCCGTGTTATTAGCTTATTTACAAGACAAAAAAGTAGGTTCGTACATTTAAAAAGAAACACTGCTTAGCTACCGTTTTAATAATATAGAAAAATATTTCATGATTAAGTAATACAGAGAAAAGTTATCATTTGAAGCCTATCTGAACTTCAGTAATGGATAGGATGTAAAGTTGAGTCAATATTTTTCCAATCAAAACAGTAAGTGACATTGTAGCACTATATACTACAATCGGTTTCAATATTACTACCAAATCCAGTGTTAGGTACAAATGTAGAAAATTATTCTATCTATGTATCTTTTTGTCGAAAAAAATGAAAAATTACTGAAATTTATTTAAATTACTCTTTTCTAATCGTTTGAATATAGCTTAATGATTGATTTATTATATGATTAATAGATGTCCATATGAGTATGAACAAGGAATTATATCTGATAGGTAATCCAGTAAATAATACTGTTCCAGTGTATGAAACATATATTAAATCAACTAAAATGGAATCACATTCTACAGGCCTTACTCTCACATTAATGCTTACACCTCAGGTTACAATTAGTTCCAATTTTGTTACCTGTATTCTCCTATGGTTGACTGAACCACATTGATCGGTCTGTATTGGTATTTGGGCTCATCCGAGGATGCCTTGATATTGCTTGTGTTTAAACTTCATATAAATGATGTATAGTGGCTAACGGTGGAGTCTTGGATGCGCGTTTCACCCTGTTTGAGACTCATCAGATGGATGTCAAAAACGCTCATATGCCAATAGTGATCATTTCGGCCCGACTAAAGATAGGACAATACAATTAAGAGCATAAAACCTACACTCATCGCACAAGATCTGGCTAACATGACTCGGAGATCTAGTGAAAAAACTCTGACTTTTGAGGCGACAGGTCCCGGATTCGAGTCCCAATGTAAACAACATCGCTCACTAGGAGGCAGGTTCGTCCAGCTGACAAATCCCGAATAGAACAAAACACGCCTCCTGGATTCCACTGCTAGCCGCTGTCAATCACCAATATAAAATGTTTCTGCCAAACATGTGACATTGAACTATTCTTTGTGAACTTGTTTTAATGAACCAAATGTCAACAAATGGTATTATGTATTCTGAAGAATTTTTGAAACGCTTCACAGCCATTATTTGTGAATTTTATGATAAGGTTATGAGTAAAAATCGTGACAATAACATAACAAATATAATTGTAACAATTAGCTAGAGCTGTACATCTTCATAATGATTGAATGAAACTCCGCCCTCAAATTATACAAACTTTTCTACTCTCACATCCCGTGCAACAGCATATCCACAGATTAGACGATGACCCGATAATAGCTGGTCGTTGGATTTCATTATTTATTATAATGTTACTATTGACGTTGCTTATATGGTATAGCTGTTCCACTTAGTAATATTGTACAAGGAGTAAGTTTGTAGAAATGTCACATGCTGAAACATTTCATACTGTATGAAAAACATTAATTGGAATAAAGTGATTGATTTTATCATTATTATTTATTATTTTACTGGGGGAAATATTAAGTAAGAAACAGAATATAGTTAACTTAATTGTAATAGATTTCTAGATGATTTATCGTCGGATAGCAACACCAAATAATTGTCACAATAACCAAATTTTACATAAGTTGAATAAAGTAAGAACAAAGGCTGTCGGAGAATAAAACGAACTTTTTATTTTATGCTTTCCTTTATCTATAGTATAAATCAACATTACATTGACTAGTCAATTGAGAGTAACCAGCTTCGTATTAACTAGCCCTAAGTACTGATCGATTTCCATAGATCATTTTTCTGTGAGACTCATCCTCACAATGCACTCGGACAGATGCTAGTTGGATGTAGACAGTGGACAGGAAACCCCGACTGGCTTGTATTTCGTAATTATCGTCACTCACCAACAAAACATATCTGTAACCTTAACGGAACTGAAGTCTCATCTGAGATCCAAAGCTGCAACAGTCGCGGCTAGAATATAGCTCGATGGTAGCATTCCTGAATGCACTACCCTTTTCTCAGCTATTCTCTTCATGCATACTTCACCTACTTAAGCTTCTTTCTCGTAATAATTTACATAGAATAACAAAACCATATACAGAATCACCAAACATACATGTATATTTAATAAGCCTCATGACGATCCCAATATTGTTTGCAGGATAAAGTTTATTATCTTTATATCAGAATTATGATCTAAAAACTTTGTAAAATCCTTTCATAAAGTGAGAAGATACATAAACCACTATGTGTTACCCAGAGGAATTATACATGTTGTCTGTTGGAAATTGCACTAATGAGTATGAAACTGAAACTTTGCCTCTCATATTTAGGTATCACATTGCACACAAGTATACTGATCGAAGTGATGCACAAAAGAAGCCAAGATCACTAACTTTTTGACTTGAAGTTTATAGACAAGAATAGAGGAAGTTAGTTTCATTACAAACATATTGATGTTTTCAAGTGTTTCACTCATATTTATGAAAAACTCATAAGTTCTTACTAAAAAGTACATAATGGATATGTAAAACTGTAGAATAAGGATTAAGTTGACATAGTCGTAGCTGATATAGAATCTTGTATCATTCTAATCGATCAAAGGGAATAAGTACAAAAAAAACCTCTAGATATTGGATGCTTCGTTAAGAATACTAGTAGACGGAGCAGAAAAATCTTTATTATTGTATTTAATTAGTTCAGGTATCGATCGTCTAGCAAAGAATTAGAAGGCTTATTTGCCTTTCATTGATATCAAACTTAAATAGTCATCGTTATTCATAGATAGCTCATCGAAAATCAAAAGTAACTTTGAATACCCAATCATCGGAGATAAATCCCCCCCCCCCGTTATAAACTTGCTTCATGGCTAGTACAGTAATTGAAACCCATGAAGAAAAAGTTAACATTTCGTAGCTTGACAGAAATATTTTAATTCTCTGAAGAACTCGATTATTAAAAATCTCAGAAAACTTTGCAGCATTATTTGAGTTATTCTTATCATTGACAAAAAAACCAGTTAATGTATGAAACCGACAGCAGAGTCAAATTTACTTACACTAGAGGAAGATAAGGTTGAAATAATTATTGTATCTCTGTACCGAAAGTACAAAATTGCAGTTTAATAATCAACTCTACTGATAAATTGATTAGGTGACCAAGTAATCACCACCAAAACCTATCCAAGCTGATATCTTGATAACTCATTCGATTAAAAAAACACATGTTAGCTGATATAACCTTTATTATTTGCGGTAATATAGATTATAAATGAAATCTGTTCGGTAATTTCAACCAGGCTTATCCAAATCCAAATTTTACATTAATAAGCAAAAGGGAAGACTAAGGATCCTGATTTCATTCTTTGGTCCAACCATATGAAACATGATCATTTGGACACCTATTCATCGGTGAAAGCTGAAACATTTCCAAAGACTGACTTTCCTGTCGTAGTTATATGCAGCTGCCTCAAAATGTATATCATGTCATATGTGATAACAGTTGATAATTCGTCTATCCTTTAGTAAATACTTAAAAATGTCGTTTGATACAGGAATACTGTCTATGTGACCGGTTGAATCCTAATTGCCTATATGACTTCATATTTGTCTACCGGTTCACCCTATGACACCGTTAGACTGAGAACCTAATCTTAGGAAAACTATCTTCTTCAGAACAGGTGAGATCCAATAGATTGTAACTCAATATAGGTTTCTAGGTGAATCAGCGCTTTCTTCAGAAATTCACCTTCGAAATTTGTGTCATGAATATTTTTTTTTAATTTCATGTTATCGTTTGTTTCTGAAAGACGAATGTATCATTACGAGTTCATTATAACACTAAATGATGAATCTCACGAAGGTGTCACATGCTATAAGATGAATAAGTATCAGTGTTCCCTTAAACTATATGCATTAAACACGTTGCTAATTAATTCAATGAATATAATCTGCAGATTAAACTTGTTGTTCATAAGCAGAATTTCTGACTTTTCTGAAATCAAAATTTTTTAAAAGAACCACG